TTAAATAATAAAACAAGTCTTCTTCTACCAGACACAACCCTTTTAATTTCTAAAACTGTATAAATTTCTGACTTATATTGTTGAAAAAATGTTAATTTGGGATAAACAAATAAAATAACTTTTAAACTATTGGACCGATCACTTTGAAATTTTAACCCTATATTAAGCACTACAAGACACATCATTCCGTAAAATATAAATATTATAAGTTTATTTTCAAAAAAGTTATTAACATTTATAAAAAACCGAAATTTTTTATTATTATTTAGCAACTTTCTAAACAACAAATAAGGATAGAAAACATTTTGAGAACGCCATTTTGAAGGTTTTTATATAACTTATAAGTTTCCTCTCTTCTAAAATTTGTTTAAATTGCTTCACTTTTTGCTGATAGACGAAAAAGCAAAAATTTTCCGTTTTTTGAACTTAATTTGTTAATAACTAATTTAGTCCAAAAAATCAATAGCAGGAAACATATAGGTTTTTGTTACAGAGGTCCACACTACTCAAACCAACTGTCGTTTGCCTGGCCGGACGAGTGTCATGAAAAAATGCTTATTTCCCTGGGCTATAAAGCTTTTTAATTATTGCTTCTCGCATATTAATTCTAACCAAAAAATTATCTAAGTCTACGTCAGCCGCTCTGTACGTTTTCACATTTTTGTTATTAAATTGGTGTATTTCTCTTTTATTAATATGTGGTGTATTTGATTAGTTTTGTTGGATCCCGGAATATTTATCCTTTCTTTATATAAGGCATTCAGAACCATAGTGGATCATGTCCATAATACATAAGTCAGAGATATTTGGAGTTAAAGTTAACATACTCTTCACAATTACATAATACATGAACGAACCGAATCTAAGTGAAAACCTTTTATGTAATATGTAGTTTAAATAATTAAACTATGTGTAATATTAAAAAAATATCCTTTTTGAAAAGAATTGGAGACTCTTGTTGAAAAACATTGGACTTGATCCATTATTACCCTGAAATATTTGGTGGAAAAAAATGGATTAAAAAAAGTATGACTTACTTAATACTTAATACTTAATACTTAATAAAAAACTTATTACAATAATGTTCAATAATACTCTCACAGCTTAAGTGGCACTAGTTTAAATTATCATAGACCAGGTCATGATCGTCCATGTCATCTTTTTCACCCCGTTGCTGGATTCATGAACGGTTTCTTGTGTTGATGCAGTGATTTTTAAAATGATAGTGTGTGACTGGTGGCAGATATGGGAGGAGAGATCGAATGTCCTTTTTCTTTGCTTCTGTCATGAGTCTAGGTGTGGAGTACATATGACTTTGATTACCAATAAATTTTGAGATATTTGTTTTGGCCGTCGAGATAATAAAAAAAAGGAAAAATCTTCAGCGTAGATTTGCATTTCAAAACCCAAGGATTTTCTCTCTCGTACATTATCCATTTCATCTCTAACCATTTTACAGGTGCTTCATCACTATTTTTTTTCCTATTTACAAGCACATCTTCTATGTTCTTTGTCGACACAATGTCGCTCCTTTTTATATTAGTTACTTCAAAAGGCACTAACAATTTTTAAGTTTTTATTACATAAATCCAGTCGTCTATCCCAAAGATAGAAGATTTTGTGGCGGACTTTTCAATAACCCCAAAATAGCGGCTAGATACAAGAAACTTGTGACCTATAGTTTTTATTTTAATTTAAGGAGCTTGAACAAGATTTAGTAATGTGTCAGTCACAAATTTCTGTTTTGTTTTGTATATGAATCTGAATAGAGAGTTACGGGGTTATGAATTTTGGCATGCCTTTTTAGATGCATGGTCAATATTAAAATATTTCCTGAGATCCTCTACCACCATCTGTTTCATCCCACACATACATAAAGCCTTTGTTCTTGTTAAAGGAATGCATTCCTAGGTTATAGACATACATATTTCATTTGTATTATCACTGTATCATTATATATCATTATAGTATCACTTTTAGGATCACTGTATGATTTTAGTAAATATCGAGCTTGTTTTGCTTTGGTTAGGTGAACATTTTGATCAACAGTGAATTTGACGTCTCAGGTTCAGTTGCTGCAGCTATGATGATGCAAATAAATTACTAATGTAATTTTAATCCATTTTTAATCATAAATAATTACGATAAATACACTGAGCACAATCTGTCTAGTCAACTGGACTTGATTAACTCTGTCCCAAAATGATATGACACATTGTCCAGAGACATGTTAATTTAACGCCATCTGTTTATTATTGCTACAACTTTGGACGTGGTTTGTTATAACACTAAAAAGATTTCTATTTGTAGATCATAGATACACCGCTAACTTAATGTTCGTAAAATCCACTATGGTTTAGAACGCCTCATATTTGTTTCTCCTGAAATGCGTACTAATTATTTTCATCCTGTTTTTAATTGCGAATGTAATTAATCTTTGGCCATTACTTATTACTTATTATTTACTTTTTCACCCCCTGCTATGTTATATATATATATATATATATTATATATATATAAACATCACATAACAGATCACAACAATATATATATATATATATATATATATATATATATATATATATATATATATTATATATATATATATATATTGTTGTGATCTGCTTTACGATATTTTATTATTAATTAACACTAATTTATGCAGAGTCACACAATTTAATTACTATTAAAAATTCTCAGGGTGCCTTTTTTGTTAATTAGTTAATTAATGTTAATTAATCCTTAATGTCAGGAAACGGAACTAACTTAAATCAACATAAATAGGCACACAAATTATTATTTATTTTCAATAAGCAATACGATGAATATTAATAAATAACTTTTGTGGGCAATTATCTTTCCCAACAAACTCCTATACTCTAAATTTAATTTTAATTACAAACTATCTATTGATCTGTTTTATAATAATATCTACTAAAAAAATGACCATATAAAAATATAATTTATTCACAAAAAAAAATAACTCTTTGAAACTTGGAATCTTAGTTCGTATGCTTATATTTGGTTTTATCTTTAGAATATCTTAAAATTTTCTTTCATTCAAATTATTTGACTGACCTTTATTTTTACACCAATGATGTCTTGTCTCCTCTCGATTGAACCACAGTTCCTTCCTTGATTGATTATGTCCGGCTACCATCAAATCTTTCCCGTTCTCAGCATCGATCCAAACCGCATACCAGCAAACTACTCCTCCGAAAACACAAGCCCAAGCCTCTTTTGACTGGTACTCTTTATTCACAAATTCTCCTTTCTTTCTCAATTATATCTCGTGGACTATGCAGACTCAAAGAGGTATTAACCTTCTCGATTTTGATCTGCTCTCAGCTTCCACCTTTTTCATTAACAAATGAAAACACTGGTACTCAGATTGACTACACGAAAACACGTCTTTTCTTCTGGTCTGCCGGTAACATAATAATCTTTCAATCTCTCCCAGATAACCTTCTCAACTCTCTCATTTCCACCATTCTTTTTTTTAATTTTTTTAACCAATCATAAGCATTCATCTTTCCCACTTATTTTCGATTTAGAAAATTTCCAACATGATATTTAAAACAAATAAACTACTTTCACTCAAATTACTTTTCAGAAACCATTAACAATTTTGCCTTTTTCAACAAAAATAAGTTTCCAAATTCTTGTTATCTCTTATCTAAATCTAATTCTTATTTACTTTCGAAAAATGCCCGCCGCAAAATACAATTACAAGTTTATTCCTAAATCTATAATTATACGGGTTCCATTGTCCTTTCACTATTCACTCAGTCTTTCACCGAAAAACTCGTTAGGGTCCCGTCACCGAACAATGTTTTCTCTTATTCTAACTATTACAAATAAGTACAGGGCTGTATTTAACTTATATGCCCGCGGTATATTAAAATAATAAAAATAATAAAAAACTCTTTATTCTATTTCGGATCGATAAAGTGCTCCATAACAATATATATATATATATATATATATATATATATATATATATATATATATATATATATATCTTCCCTTCCGACCTATTCGTTGTCGTTGCCATTTTATGACAAGTTAAGAAATTCTAATAGTTAAAATAATAAATATTAGGGAGTGGCTAACTGCCATATTAATTAGTATTTGAAAACTTTTTACTTTTTAACTTTTAAAATTTAGTATTGACATAATTATGACAGTTAGCAGTTAACTATTTTCTTGGCAATTGGTACATATGTAACCATAAATTTAGAATTTGTTCTGGTTTGTTTAAAAAAAATGTTAACCTTTATACATAGTTCGATTTAAAAAGATATTTTTCATTTGTAACGATATTTCCGCTACAAAATATCGCTCATTAATAATTTAAGTTTCGGATAGTGTCCCAAACGTCTAGATTTGTAAACCGATAGCATCATTGTAAGTTGTTTTGTATTTTATTATTATTATTTATGTTTGTTACTGTTAAACTAAGAGTATTATTTCCTTTAAAAAGATTCTAACCCCTTTTGTACTGTTTAGAAAAGAAAAGGTTATCTTTCCATCTAGTAGGAAGATTCTTGTGAGCGGCGTACATTTTAAATAGCTTAGGAACCTTTTTGTGTTGTTTTGTCCAGGAGATCCTTGTAAGTACCCCTTTTGATTCCCTATTTGTAGTTACCCCATTCGTCTCCATGTTATTCACTTATCTACGACCCTGCGCTCCAAGCAAACCAAGAGTGGCGTTCGTAAACATTCCAGTTTGCTTTGCTTACCCAATCTCCACCCCAGTAATTTCTGTCCCGAATTTTCAACGCCCTATAGAAATACCCTATGTGCTAGGCAATATAACCGTTACAGATTTACAGTTTTTTAGGGTACGAATATTGTAAAAAAGTTTTTCAAATTATTAATTTTTTTAGTTTATAATATTTTATATTTAAATTAGTATTGGATTATCACTGCATCACAATGAGTATTGTTATAGAATTTTAAGTCAAATAAAACATTTTTAAATTAAAATGCTGCCTTACCTATTAGTACGTCGATCTCGTCGGTTTCTTTTACTATTGTGGTCACCAGAATCTTCATCTATATCTAAATTGTTTTCATCCGTTTTATTATCTGAATCAAACTGATCATGTTTTGTGTCATTCGTAATTTTAAACTGATCACTTATGCTAACATCTTCCTGTATTTTTTTAGCTTTTTCCCATTCTAATGAATATTCCAAGAAACCCGAAGTATTTAATTCGAAATTTTCAATATGCTGTAAGTTTAAATCTAGATTTTCAATAACCTTTTTTAATTCGATTCCGCTACCCACACCTTCATGTTTATAATGAACAATTTCGACTTTCTCGAAGACATTTTTAACATTCTTTCTGACACTTTTTTTATTAGGAATATTTATATTCATTTCACAAACTTTTTTCTTCAACAAAGATTTCGGTTGGGCGTATATTTCTACTGTTAAAAATTTTGGTATATCCGTTAATTGTAATGAAAAAGTTTCATCGATGTTTAGTACAAAATCATCCGTCATGTTGAGAAATTTGGTTTTACATGCTTCTATGCCGTTACATAATATTCGTAAATAAAACTTTGTAGATAAAACGGCGGCTCTTCTAGCAACTTCCCTATTGTTTTCACAATCTTCGCTTATTTGATTAGAAAAGGTCAAAGAAAACTTTATAGTCGGATCTTCTGGTGATTTAAAACAGGTTTGAAATGTTTTTGTAAGTTGGGAACGAAGCTTTTGGCTTGTGATTTCTTCTTCCTAAAACACAACTTTTATTTTTATTATTTCTCTGATTAAAATTATATGTCTGGAAGTTTTAATTAATGTTACATTTATTTATGTTGATATTTTTTTATATTTTACAACTATTATGTTAATTGGTTTATAACCAGAAAAGAAAAATATGAGAAAAATAAATGTGATTTTTTGTAACTATAACTTTAGTTTATAATTATAATTGTAATTATAATTATATACAATAGGTGCAGAAAGTAAGGTTGTTTTCGTTTTTCTTTCGGATTCCATTTTAATATTTTCTTTGTGGATTTTATATTTAATTTTATCTGGAATTGACCAGCCATGACAGTCTCTGACTTTTAACATATCTTAATATACTGCGCAGTATAAGTTAATATACTGCGCGGGATATTGCCAATTTGTTGCCGTGTTAAGCCCAAAGGCGTTAACTGCTTTTTTTATCGAAAATAAGATTTTTGTATTTTTGTGTAGAACATAGTATTTTGAATGTATTTACAAAGTCTTTGGAGCTATAGAAGAATTGTATTGTAAAAAAATTGCAATTTGGTTAGCAGTATCTACTTTTCAATTAAATTACTATGCTATTTGTCGATAAATATTAAATACTATGGGGTTTTGACGGTATTTGCTACACTTGCTCCAATCTACCTTAGAAGAAGAATATTGCACTTACTGCGAATATACTTTAAAAAATCCCTCGTCTAGTCGCCTTAGTCATTGTTTAAAAAATAAACAGTGCCTTAGTATTATAAAGTAAATATTGCCTAATCTTTATATTTCGATTATTTGTGTTAGTTAAAAGAGTTGTTTGCAGTGTCGTTTTGATATATTTTGGCGAGTAAAAGGTGATTTGTTTTTAAAAGAATATAATAATTAATTTTTTATTACACATGTCGAATAGATAGAAAAACATTTTGAAACAAGCTTTATTGACGGGTATTATTGCTTATGTGTTACGCTTTATAAATAATTGTAAATTTTCTCTTAAGCGAAGGAGCTTCGACAACCTTTCTTGTGAGGAAATAGATAATACTTTAAAACTTGACTTTCGCAAGTCTATTACACCAGTCAGTTCTATCCATTGCCAACTGTTGCCAGTTTGCTGCGCCTATTTTTCTACCATCCCTCCATCCGAGTTTTGGCCTATCCCTACTTCTATTTTCCATATGTTGTAACATAAGGATTCTTCTAGGAAGGTTGTTCTGCTATGATCTTACCAGATGTCGTTACCATCTCAGTCTTTCTTTTTTTTATAAGAGATACTACGTCTTTACCACCAAATATATATTTATATCTGTGATATATCTCATAGTTGTATCTCCTTCTACAAACATCATTTTCACAGATGCCACCAATTATTCTTTTCAGGTTCCTTCGTTCAAATATCAGCAGGAGGTTTTCATCTGCCTTGGAAATGGTCCATGTCCCCGATCCATATGTCAACACTGATTGTATAAGGGTTTTGTATATAGTTATTTTTGTTTTTTGGCTTAAGTTTCTGCTCCCCGTATGTCTATTTAATCCATAGCATTTGTTTGCTAAGATTATTCTTTGCTTGATTTTTTCCATTATGACGTTCTCCTTGGTAAACAGGGAGCCTAAGTATGTGAATTTGTCCACCACTTCAAAGGTAGAGTTATCAACAGTTAATTGGAGTCCTATGTTTCTAAATCTATTGTTGGGTGTTGATGCCATTATCTTAGTTTTCTCCTCATTTAATTGCAGGCACATATTTTTTAAGGCATTTCACAAGGTGGGATTTCTTCTAGTTTGCGTGTTGTGCGAGCAACTAGGTCAACATCAGCTGCATATGCCAAAGTTTGGGATTATTTATTAAAAATGTTTCCTCTGTTGTCTATTTGGGTATCCCTGACCGCCTTTTCCAGAGCTATGTTGATAAGGAGACACGCCAGTGCATCTCCCTGTCGCAGCCCAAGATGCGTTTTAAATGCCTGTGTTTGTTCGCCCTGTATTTCGACTTTGCAAACAACTTTACGCATTGTAGCCTTAACCAATCTTATCAGTTTATCGGGGACGTGAAATTCATCCATGGCTTCATACAATTTATTTCTTAGGACACTATCATAAATTTAAAATCTACGAAAAGATGGTACGTGTCGATATTGAATTTATTGGTTTTTTCCAGTATTTGCCTTAGCACAAAGATCTGGTCTGTTGTTAATTGACCAGGCCTAAAACCACTTTAGTATTCGTCAAGAAGCTCCTCTTAATATGCACTTGGGCAACTAGTACAAAACGAAATATTTTATGACGATTTGACACACTTTAAAAGTCATGGTAATGTTGACTCTAAAAGTAAACTACCTAACCTCAATCCGTTTATCGATAAGGATACCATACTCCGCGTTGGTGAAGGACTGAATAATTCTGATTTTTGTTAGGATAAAAACCATCCAATTGTCCTTAATTATTAACACCAGTTTACTAATATATTTGTACGAAATGAGCATCTTACCTTAAATCATTGCGATCCTCAACTAGGTACTATTAGCTTCCATTCGTGAAAAATTTTTTTCCCATTAATAGACGTCAAGTGGTTCTCAAAATCGTTTGCGATTGTATTATTTGTTGTAGGGTGGCTCCTAAATTACAAACCTATTTTATGGGTAATTTATCCTTGTCACGTCTTGTTCCCTCTAGGCCATTCTACAACTGTGGACTTAATTATGCTGGACCTTTTTTGCTAAAGGATCGACACACCCGAAATTATAAAACTATTTCTAAGGGTTACATAGCCTTATTCATCTGTTTAGCAACTAAGGCCATACATTTAGAAATTTATTTAAACGCTTTATTTCTCGATGCGAAAAATGCACTTCCGTCCTTTCGGACAATCGTAGTACCTTCGTTGGCGCAAAAAATGAGCTTGTCAAATTTTTTGACACCTCTTGTTTAACTATTAGGGACAATTTAACTACCGAAGGTATCAATTAGTAGTTTATTCCGCGACGATCACCTCAGTTTGGAAGAGTTTGGGAGGCAGGAGTAAAATCTGTTAGTATTCACCTAAAGCATGCCATTGGCAATACAATTCTTTCATATGAAGAATTTTCCACTGTTTTATTTCAAATTGAAGCTTGCGACTACTCTCACCAATGTCTAACGACCCTTCCGACTTACCTCCTCTTACTTCAGCACACTTTTTAATTAAATCCACATTGACCGCAATACCTGAACGAAATTTCAAGAAAATATTTTCTTTGCTTTATTGTGGTTGCCCGTTGTAAGTAGAAATAACTGCAGTTAACACTACAGTGCACATATAATGTTAGCCAAGTTAGTACCGAGCATATGGGTATAAATCTACATAGTCCCCTTTACCAAGCTAATTTTATGTCCATTTCAACTACAACTTGACTTATTTCCTTATGCTTTCTTGAAATAATTAAAAATAATAAATATCCTTAAATACTTTTTTAATTTACTAAAATATTGGACAAATAGATATTAATTTAAGAAAAAAGACTTTAATATATCTAACAGAATGTAAGTCGGATCTAAAAATACAAACGTTGTTATTATTACGTCTACAAGGTAACAAAAAGACCATATGAACTAAAAATGTCTGTCAAAAACTTCCAAATGAGAATTATTCCTTTTGCCTTCTTGCCACAGACTTGTTGTACAATTAACTCTTACAGTTTTTTATGGAAAACACATTTAATATTTCAAATGTAACAAATGTTCAATGGACAAAAATGCTTAGCATATTATTCAGAATTTAAAATAACAAATTACTAATAATCACGTATATTCGTTTAGAAATATTTTAACGCTTATCAAATTAATTGACCCATTTTAAATTAGCAATTTAAAATCATTATTTGATGTTCAAAAGCAAATATAATAATTTAGTTTTATCTAATCTGCTTAAGTTTTAATATAACCAAAATGTATGGAAATTAATTAATAATTAACTAAACAATATTAAATTGCACCTTAATGATATTAAAATCTATTCAACTATAAATGGTATAGATATTTATATATTTTGCATAATTCGTTATGTCAATGGAGTCGATGAAAATTTTTATATATATTTATAGGTATACATTCAGTAAACAGCGTTCAAATTGTAATATTAGATAAATATTAGGTAGAAAGTATGTATGAATAGATTGGGTGTGGGTTTCGTTTCAAAGATTTAAAGAAAATGGTTAGGGTTTTTACAAATATTTCGATTATTCAAAACCAACTAACGACCCAATATTTTTGAAGCCGTTGACAGAGAAGATTTAATATATGCAAAGTCTATTTATTTCATTATTATCGGAAAAGTCAGGAGGTTTAAACGTGATTCTTCCTATCGAAATCCTAAAAATTTTTACCCAAAGAGTGGTTAACGTCGATATTTATTTGTCTCCCCAAAAAGAAAAACGCAAGAGAATGCAGCGTTTACCGCACCATTAGCTTGATATCTAATCAGTTTTCCATAACAGAATATATCACAAACTGGACATAGACTTTATTGATACACAATTTGGTTTTCGCAAAGGCCTAGGAACGCGTGAAACTCTTTTTTTACTTACTATACTGACACAAAGATGCCTAGACGTCAATCAAGATATATACGCTTGTTTTATTGACTATAATAAAGCATTCGATAAAGTACAACATTAACAAATAATGAATGTCCTAAAATCAAAAAAGATTGAGTACAACGACCTCAGGATCATATTAAATTTATACTTTAAACAGAGAGCAAAAGTACGTATTAACGAACAGCTGTCAGAAGAAATTAAAATTTAACGTGGAGTGAGACAGGGATGCGTATTGTCGACAATTCTTTTTATTGTCTACTTCGGAGAGACTCTGAAAAAAGTTCTTAAGGGTAAAACAGTTGAAATAAAGGTAATTGAAGTTTCCATTATTAACATTAGATATGCGGATGCAAAAATATTGAAGATTTTCAGAGACAACGAACGTCAACAAGACGAAAGGTATAGGAATATCGAAAACTCTAAGAAATAACGAGAACCTTCTAATTAACGTAAACAACGTCGAACAAGTGGACAAATATGTATATCTGGGAACAATGATTAACTCCACAAATAATTATAGTCAGGAGATCAAAATCAGAATAGAAAAGGATAGAGCAAATTTCAACAAAATGAGAAGAGAGTTATGTAAAAAGGATTTGAAATTGGAACTTAGAGTTAGGTTGGCGAGGTGCTATTTTTTTTAAATTTTTTTTGTAGTATAGAATCTTGGACCTTGAAATGCGAGATTAATGAAAAAACTAGAATCATTCGAGCTGTGGGTGTATAGAAAAATTCTGAAAATATAGTGGACAGAACATGTCATAAACAAAGCGGTTCTAAGAAGTATAAATAAAAAAATGGAAATTTTAAATACAATTAAAACAAGAAAATTGGAATATTTCGGACATAATACACGTGGGGAGAAATACATCTTGCTCCAACTGATTAGGCAGGAAAAGATCTAAGGAAAAAGAAGCATAGGGAGGCGTAGAATGTCATGGCCATATAACCCGAGAGAGTGGTACGGATTTATATCAAATTAACTTTTTAGATCAGTTGTCTCAAAAGTCCGAATAGCTATGATTGCCGACCTTCGCCGCGGAGATGGCACTTGATGCATTTCACAAAAAATTAAAATACTGTTTTGTCAGAAATTTAACATTGAAAGTAGAAAGAAAGAAATAAAGTAAAAGCAAGTTGTTTTTTTCAAAGCAAAGCAAAGTCATTTTGTCTTTTAAAAGTATTTGTTTTTAAAAAAAGTAAAAGCAGAGGTAGCATTTGTGTGTTGATAAAGAGGAGCTAAGGATTTGAATACAACAGCATTTGAAAGTACAACAAAATTTATCATTACATCGAAAGAATCTAAAATTCAGGGGGAACAGAAGTTTTACAACAGAGAACAGAGTTGTTAGATCTCGAGAGATCGAGATTCGGTTTTTGGAAACAGATCCAAGGAAGCAGGTTAACGAGGAAATTGACAAGATGGTTTAGGTCATTTTTAGAACACCATTAGCGAAAGAGAAATTTTTAAAACAGAACTGTAAATAAATACAATTTATAAAGTTTATTTTGTTTGGATAAGTTCAGATAAATAATATAGTTCATTTAGTAAAGCGGATTGAATTTGGACTCCACAGATTCTCAATTATCTGAATAGGGAAAAAGCGATATCTATATTTGGTTTTGGTTTTAATATGTGCTATAAACAGTTTTGAAGGTGTTTTATCAATATGCAATGCTTTCCTCATCCAAAAGTCTAAGTAGCTTAGAAGGGATTTGATCAGGTCCAGGTGCTTTATTGTTTTTGGCTTGCTGTATTGCCTTTTTGACTTCCGAAATCAGTATACTGGGATCTCTGTCTAACTGTTTGTCACAGGCAGTATTTGGAGCATTTTTTCTAGAAGCATCGTCAAAAAGGTCAGTGATGTATCTCTCCCATTCTTTGCACTGTTGTTCGTGATCACAAATTTTTCCGTTCGCGCTTTTAAGTATGTGAGCATTTTTCTGTTTTCTAATTCCGGCAATATATTTAAGTTTCTTGTGGAGGTTGAAACTGTCATGCTTTTTTTGGAGGTCTTCTATTTCTTTACATAAATTCTCAAGCCAGGATTCTTTGGCTTGGCCAGCATTAAGTTCAGACGCAAATCCAATTGAACAGGTTTGGGACATGCTTGGGCAAAGGATACGAAGTCGTGATTCTGTCCCTTTAACCTTAAATCAGTTACAAGAAGCTCTTTTCGAGGAATGGGAGTTTATTCCTCAACAGGACATTTCTCATTTGATTTTAGGAATGCCAAGGAGAATTCAGGTAATAACTCGAGCACGTGGAGAAAACATTCAATATTAAAATCAGTTTGTCCGGGCACATGCTTTAAATTTTAATTAATTGAGCGTCATTTTGTTACAGTATTTACTTTTTTTTGTTAATTTTTAAATTGTTATCTACTGAAACAGTTCTTTGTTCAAAAGTTAAATTTTTATTATAAATTACTAAAAACAGTTTGTTTCGTTTGTGTTTACGTTATTATAATAATAAAAGTTTAAAGAAAATTAAAATTTTAAGATTTTATTTTAAAAATACGAGTGCTCCGTTTTTCGTGCCGGTGAGTGTAGATTACTACTGGAAAAATTAAGCAAACTGATGGTACAATAAAGGCAACTGGTTTTCTAAATTGTCATTGAAAATCGTAGAAAATCATTGGAACACCATAAGCACTATCATACTAAACACGGCACAAGAAGTTCTTGGAACAAACACTCAACGGAGAGAAGAACAGTGGTTCGATGAAGAATGCAAACAAGCTATTCACGAAAGAAATGAAGCACATAAGAATTTCATACTCAGACGAACTAGAGAGAGAAGGACAGAATATGAGAATAAAAGACGAAGAGCTGATAAACTATGCAGACAGAAAAAGAGACGGTACGAAAACAACCGGATACTAAACATAGAGAGCGCGTTCAAGGAAAACGAAACACGCAGTGCATACCAACTTATCAAACATTTAAGACAGGGTTACAAACCGAAGACTAGCCTATGCAAAAATAAGAATGGGGAAATAATTAGCGATATGGACGAAATTAAGAGAACCTGGATGATGTATTTTAAGGAATTATTAAACGAAAGGGCACAAACACCACTACAACAGCGGCAGCAGCAGGTAGAACAGGAAGGTCAACAACAGGAGCTGTGGGAAGATGGAGAACATAATGAATTGGCTAGACCTCCAACGCTAGAGGAGGTTCGAACAGCAATCCAAATGCAAAAAAGCCATAAAGCGCCGGGAATAGATAAGATACCGGCAGAACTGTTCAAGCAGGGAGGAAAAAATTTGACAGAACAGATGTACCAGCTTATACAAGAAATATGGAAAGAAGAAAAAATCCCACAAAAATGGAAGAAAAGTATAATCTGCCCTATTCATAAAAAAGGAGACAAACTGTTATGCCAGAACTATAGAGGCATCTCTTTACTTTGTTCGGGATACAAAATACTCACAAACATTGTTAATCGAAGACTTCAACCCCTCACTGAAAAAATTATCGGGGAATATCAAGCAGGGTTCAGGAAAAATAGATCTACTATTGACCAACTATTTACAGTTAAACAAATACTAGCCAAAACATGGGAATATGACATAGACGTCTACAATCTCTTTGTAGATTTCAAGCAAGCCTATGATTCAATAGATAGAACAATACTACCTAATATATTACAAGAATTTGGTATACCATCAAAATTAATAAGACTAGTGCAAATGACAATGACAGAAACAGAAGCACATGTATGTATTCAAGGACAGATCACTGATGCGTTTATGACAACGCAAGGACTGAAACAAGGTGACGGACTGGCTCCAACACTTTTTAATCTTGTTCTTGAATATGTAATTAGACGGTTGACGGTGAGCAGAAATAACATACAAACAAATCTACCCAATTAGCAGCATACGCAGATGTCATAAACATAAAGAGCAGAACAAAGACTGCGGCAGAAGAAACCTACGTTCAGTTGAAACAGAGTTCAGAAGTTGTAGGGCTAACAATAAATACAAATAAAACAAAACTACTCATACAAACCAGATCAAATAGACAGGCGCAACAACAACAATTTATAGACAATATAGAATACGTGAATAGATTCACGTATTTAGGAATGGATCTGGTCGAAAATAATGAAGAAGAACCGGAAATAAATAGAAGGCTTATGCTGGCAAATAAAGCCTATTTCGCGATGGGCCACATATTCAAATCGCGAGACGTACACCGGAAAACAAAACTCCGGGTATATAAAACAATAATCCGACCCATAGTAAGTTATGGGTGTGAAACATGGGTTATAACACAGAAATCTACCAATGCATTAGACGTGTTCGAAAGAAAAATATTGCGTAGAATACTGGGTCCAATAAAGGAAAATAACAACTGGCGAATCAGATATAATAACGAAATATACGAACAATACACTGAACCAACACTAGCACAATACACTAGACTGCAGAGATTACGATGGGCAGGGCATGTGGCCCGCATGCATGAGAACAGAATCCCCAGAAAATTACTAAACGCAAGAATGCAAGGAAAAAGTCCTGTTGGAAGACCAAAAAAGAGATGGGAAGACGAGGTAGATGAGGATGCCAAAAATCTCCTAAAAACGCGTTCATGGAAAAGAACAGCAGTAAATAGAGATGTTTGGAGAAGTTTAATGAAGGAGGCCAAGGCCCGGCTTGGGCTGTAGTGCCATTGGATGGATGGATGGTTTTCTAAATTGTACCACTTACAGCCTACCCGGAAAATATAATTTTTTAAAAAATTTATGCCAAAATCTATGATATCAAGTTAAGTGTGTGTGTAAAAGTTCATTATGTATCCCAATACGTCGTTTAGATAAATATTGTTTAAATTAAAATTCGAAATAATGTTAAGTGATACAATATTAACAACTCTCACCTAAATATAATAAGACGTCACCGTATATGGCTCTTAGTTTTAGTACATCGTCGGTAAATTATGTGAAAAACAAATTGCTTCTATTGATCTGTTGACAATACTGCAATACTCAATTGCGCCAAAATAAATATAGCATTCTTACCTTAGACATTTCTTTTGAACTGCCCCTAGTTTTGTCCTCAGATATTTCATCAACTCTGCTCTCATTGTTTTCTTCTTGTTTTTCTGTAGTGCTATTTTTTTCTTCAATATCACTAGCATTTTCACTTATTTGTTGATGTTGAAGTTCTTGCAAAGTAGCATCAAACATATTTTGATAATGTTCCAGTTGCTCCTCCGTATTACTTGCTTCTTTTTTTATTAAAAGTTTTACGGGTGTATTCGAATATCCTTGTAATTGTCTAATCTTTTTTATGGTTTTCCAAGCCTCAAGTATTATAAAAATAGTTTCTTTGTACCTTTTGTTTTCTTCAAAATATTTTGTTCTTATCTTTTTAATAACTTTATTGATTTTATTAATTGCCATAAGATCATCCAGTTTATTTCGCTTTTCTCGTAGCTCATTTAACTGTTTCTTCAATTTGTTTATGGTATTTTTCTCTTCCATAAGTGAATAGTCTTTATAATAATCTGAAAGTATCTGAGCAAATATATGTTCGATGCTAAATAATGGATGCTGAACAAATTGTATGTGTGATAAATATAAATCCAAAATACTTTCTTTGATGATCAACACTTCCTCGAGATCCTCGTGTGGTAGTCTTGGTCGGGAATAGGCAACCATAGCTGAATTATTTGTCTTAAAATGAGGTAGTTCTACAGCAAACTCTATTAAAGGAAATTCTGAAAGTAGTAGCTGCTTTCCAGTGTCAATGCATACCCTATAAAAAATATGAAAATTAACAGTCAAAAGTGTCTAGTTTGTTGTAAAAATTTGTGGATTTATTATTTAAAGTCCCTAATTTTTTGTTGTTCGGTTGCGAAGTACTTATCTACCATGTTATCGGTCGGAGGTTAGGAGTTACTATATCCATCAATTTTCCGTATTGTTTAATTCTTAAAAAAATTAATTACTACAGCAGATGTCCCGACCAGGTAGACATCAGGTTACTACGGCCATTTAAGACCGTTGTATTAGAGAGAACGATTAACCACAGAAGGAAACTTTTAACGGAACTGAATGCGGTTTATAATATCTAACCCAACATTGATACCGTAAGGAGACGTCTTGTAGAAAATGACTTATGTACTCGAATACCAGCTACAGGCCCAGCACTTACTGCAAAGTATAGCAGAGCTAGATTATTATTCTAGTATATAGGGTTTAAAACCTGTTTCTTCTTCGATATTAGCCTCATAAATTATTGCATTATCTTTTTCTTGGTCTGTCAATACTTCTTCGTCCATTTGGTGATTTATCTGGTGCTATTCGTACTATTCTATCCTCTGCCATTCTACTGATCTGTTCGTTCCACTCCTGTTTTCGGTTTGTCACCCATCCATTTATGTCATCTATATTGCACGTGTTTACGTGTGCGGGAGCACACGATAATAGATAACCACTGTTAAACTTAGCAGCAGCACTAAATATGACAGTCACCAGCACCTATTTTGATTACAAGAACATACATAAGGTAACCTGGACCTCTCCTTATTGAATAAAATCGAGTCGGATTGATCGTATCTGAATAGATTTAAGGCATGGAACGCACATAAAAAATTGCATAAGTTATACAGAGACTTTAAAAAGACTCATATTATTGCCCAGGAATCTCAACATTGAGGACTAGAATTTCAAACACCAGTAAAAAAAATAAAATAGATAAAAAATGGAATGTGAAAAAGCTGAGAGATGCGACAACTGCAGAACGGTACTTGGAAAACATCATCAACAGGCTAAGAAAAATTGAAATGTAAATGAAGAAGTAAGAAATGTAGAAAAAGACTCCTACTGGACCACAATAAAGAAAGACATTGAATCAGAAGCGAAACATGAAATAGTAACAGAAGTTTGTGCCCGTAAAAATCATTGGTTTGACCATGAATGCAAGAATGCAACAAAAGAAAAAAATAGGCCTACATAAGAATGCTTACCCAACGAACTAGAAAAACTGTAGAGAATTACCAAACAAATAGTAGAGAAGAAGAGAGAATACACAAAAAAACAACGAAACCACTTAAATAAGCAACTTAACTAAGAAACTTAGTTAAAAGAAAAAGAAAACTTAGAAAAAGTAAAGAAAACCTCAACAGAAAGAATGAACTAAGAGCATTCCATAATAAACTTAATATCACCGGAAAAGAATTCAAGGCAACTACAAGACAATACAGAAGTCAGACTGGCGACCTATTAACAACAAGGAAATATGTATTGAATAAATTGGTTGAATACTTAAAGAGGCACTTAATATAAAGGATGGAGCAGAAAACCTGGAAGAATAAAGAGATGAGGTTAGGGGAACACACGAGAGAGAAGAGGAATCACTAACGACTCTTGAAGTTAAAGATGAAGTTAAAAAACTAGTCAGAAACAAATCACCTGAAATAGAGAATCTCCCAGCTGAACTATATAAAAAAGGTGGCTATAATACCATAATGGCATTACAGAAACTTTTAAATGAAATAGGAACAAAAAACATTTCTCCCCAGTGATTGGAATCCCCAATAATTATATCGAGAAATACGAAAATAAAACTATACAGAACAATAATACGCCCAGTACTAACATATGGTTCAGATACCTAGACTCTAACAAAAAAATAATAAAAATATGTTAGCATGTTTTAAAAGAAAAGTGTTAAGGCGAATCCATGATAATGAAGTGTGGAGAAAAAGATACAACTTCGAACTTTATAGAATATACCAAGGACCTGATATCGTAAAACATATTAAGATAGGACGTCTAAGGTGAATAGGGCATGTAATGCAGATGAAACAAAATGACCCATCTAAAAAAACGCTCCTTGATAAACCCATTGGTCAGAGAAGAAGAGAAAGAGCCAGACCAAGGTCCCTTAATAATATCACTAAAGACATGAGAAATATGGGAACACTTGCTTGGCGGAGAAAGGCGATGGATAGTGACGACTGGAGAGAAATTCTTGAGGAGGCTAAGACCGACGAAGGGGTGTAAAGCCAGAAGTGTGCAGTTTTTATAACATTACATAAATCTACAAATTGTTTTATAAAATATATTGTTTTTTATTGTTTCTTAAAATATATATATATATATATATATATATATATATATATATATATATATATATGCATATATATATATATATATATATATATATATATATATATATATATACATATTGGTTATTTTTTAGCCTTAATAGCAATACAAATAAATAAGTAAGTAAATAAGTAATACGCTTTATTATCACTGAAAATTGTACAAATTCTTTGGACAAAGCTTATACAAATAACACAAAAAAGAAGAAAAAAAAACAGAATGAGAATCGTTTATAGTTTTAAATAAAAGAAAACAGTAAAATTCTTCCAAACTTAAACATAAAAAAACACTACCTAATTAAGAACTTACAAACTTCGTTAAATTTACCTAACAAGGAATTAAAATTAGGAAAGCAGATTAATGAACCAAGGACTCAAATATTCCATCTTCTAGTGCTTGTGCACTTACCAAATCTATAATACAGATTTCTCCTCATATTTTGGAGTAGGGCTGGTGTAATGTTGCAGAAAAATTAAGTATTTTTGCTATTAATTCTACTACGTTTATGGCTCTTTCAAACTGATGCCTATAAAGGTTCTCTTATTTTCAAAAAATAAATCGTTAGGCGCAAGTCACAGGATCTAGTGGCCCATTTAATTGTACCATGTGTATTTATTAGTCGATAAGGAAACGTTTGATTGAGGAAGTCAATAGTTGTTCTAGATGTGTGAGCAGAACACCCATCGTGTTGGAAATAAACCTGATGAAAATTAATGGGAAAACGTTTTAAATGTTTGGGCCCGTTTAGGTTTCCATCAGATACTGGAATGGAGACCAAAAGATGATGCCTACCGAAACAGAGGTCGTCCACCAACACGTTGGACTGACGATCTAAAACGTTGTCATAGGAATTGGATGCAAGAGGCACAAGATCGAAATAGATGGAAAATTATGAGGGATATCTATCTCTAGCAGTGGATAAGCGAAGATTAAATGATGATGAGGTTCCCATCGATAAAAAATTGACCGACAATATGGTCGCCTAACATTTGCACTGCAACACTGAGGTGTTTATTTTTCCAAGAATAATACTTTGCAACGGATGGATTGTATTTTTTATGTAATGAAAATAAAGATTGGTCAGAAAATAAAATATTTCTTAAAAAGTGTACATTTTTATTCTTTTTATTTATAACATAAATTCACAAAACTCCATCAGCCTAAAGTGGTCTTCCGGAAACAGTTCTTGTGTTGGTTGTATCTTAAAATAGTGATAACCATTCCTTTTGAAAACTCGCTGGACAGTTCGGACAATTCACGTTAATTTCTCTAGCAATTTGTACACTATTGCAGGGTTCACTAGCTTCCACAAAAGCACAAACATCAATATCCCTGTTTTAATGCTCCTGATCGATAGGTCTAACACGTGGTTCATTATCTTTATGACACTTTTTACAACTGTTTACACATCTCGAAGTTTGAAAATATTTATTAATATTTTTAACTGTTATAACACTTAGTGGGGGTCCATTTTCGAAGGCAACAATACATAAATCAATTACTGAACGTATCGAATGACTCTGAAAGTACCATGTTACAAGTCTATTTTCGAAGACAACAATAAATAAATCAATTACTTCGCGTATCGAATGACCCAGAAAGTAGCATGTGTAAATATGTAACATGTCACAGCGATAGCCATTATCTTGTATGGTCAATAAAATAAAGTCATGGTGATCTGTATATATTTATATTATAAGTAGCAGTATCTAATGGAAATACTGATATCCTTAAAAGTTCATAAAAAAGAAATAATACCGTATATCGTAACAAGAAGAATTGAAGTTATAGAATGAGTAGCTAACACTGGTATTAACTTTCAGTAAAGAAAATATAGGAAGAAAGAATAATTCTGTAACACTTACTCATTGTCAGTTGCAGGTTCGTGCTCCTGTTCTTCATTTTTTTCAGTGTTTGTAACTTCTAAACATGTTTCAGCTGGTTCTTTAATGGAATCATTGTTTCTTTTTTGGCAGCATAACTGAAATCTAAAAATTTTTAATTCTCTATTATTTTCTTTAAATTGCAAAAGGCGTTAAAAATGGTGACCTTGCAACTCAGTTGTTATAAAAAATGTCTGATTTAGACATAAATTTAATCTATCAGGAAGAAAGAATGGAAATCTTTTTGGATAACGACAAACTTGTCTTAGTTATTTTTTTAAGCCCTTTTTTCATTCGGATTGTCGAATATAGGCCTCTCCTAATTCTCGCCATTCATCTCTGTTGTTTTTAAGACGTTTTCACATTGGCCCTGCAGTTTTTTTAATATCGTCGCTACAGCCCATTTGCGGTCTTCCTTGTGGTCTTTTGGCTTCATATGGCCACCGTCTTAGATATTAAAAGGTGTAATATTGAAAAAAATTGTGATATCTTAACGGTAGAATATGTTCTTTTTCACGTGCTATTAGGAATTTTGGCGAACTGTGCGAGGTTTTGTCTCGTTTTTAGGTATGTATATGAATTAAGTGCTATCCAATTACGGATGTAATTTAAACAGTCTTCCTCTTCTTCTTAGCCTTCTGTCGTCCATGTTTGGATATAGGCCTCTCCCAACTCCTTTTATCGGTCTCTATTCTTAGCAACATATTTCCAATTTGTTCCGGCTATTCTGTTAATGTCATTAACCCATCTTATCTGTGGTCTTCCTCTTGGTCGTTTACTTTCGTAAGGTCTCCACTGTTGTATTGTAGGATTCCAACGTTGGTCTTTCTGTCGAGCAGTGTGGCCAGCGAAGCTCCATTTAAGTTTGGCAATTTTTGTTGTTATGTCCTCGACTAGGACCAGATCTCGTTGTTTTGGATCTTACCAGTCGTTCCTCTTTTTATCTGACAGTCGTATACCTAACATTGCTCTTTCCATTGTTCTTTCTGTTGTGGTTAGTCTATTCATGTTTGCCTTGGTTAGGGTCCAGGTTTAACATCCATATGTCATGATAGGAAATATGTATTGGTTGAACACTTTGTTCCTCAAGCATTGGGTATTTTGCGGTTCTTAAGTATCCAACTAAGTTTTCCAAATCCTGCCCATGCTAGTCTTGCTCTTCTAGTAATTTCCGCACTTTGGTTCTCTTTGTCAAGTCTCAGAATTTGGCCTAGGTAGATGTATTCCTGGATTTGTTCTATCTCACTGCCGTTTATAGTTATATGTCTGGGTCATCCGTGTTTGTCATAATTTTTTTTTATATTCATTTTTAGGCCGACGTATTGGAAGCTGGCTGCTAGTTCCCCCAACATAATTTGCAGTTCCTTTAATGTGCTCGCTATAATTACTATGTCGTTAGCGAATCTGAGGTGGTTTAACTTGTTGCCATTAACTTTAATGCCATAGGTTGACCAATTTGTAGTTTTGAAAAAGTTTTCTAGGGCTAGGTTGAAAAGCTTTGGCGATATTACGACTCCTTATCTTACTCATTTCTAAATGGTATAATTTAACCAGTAGTAGTGCTTATATTTTAGGTACGGTGTGATTTTACCTTAAATAATGTTTTTTGTTTTTTTTTTCATTCTCTTCAAAACTAGGTCATTAGTAATATGATCCATTTAAGATATTCTAAGCATACGTCAATGTATCCATATTTGGATGACCTTAAGGTTTGCCTTAGCCAATTTTCCAAGCCTCCACTTTATATACTTTATATGACAACAGAGTAAATATATGTAGGATTTGACAAATTTTAATGTTATGGAAATTCTGTAACGGAAGTCGCTTAGCAAGGTATTTATCTTAAGAAAATTTGCGCTTGCCATTTTTATTCTTGTACTTATGTCTGGATCTGGTTTAGGTTGTATCTTATCCAGCAGTCTAGGTAGTTTGTGCAGTTTTAAAGCTTTTTTAACTTCTTCATTAACTTGTTATTATCCATCCTAACAATATATGTCCAAAATATTGCAATCACTTCATTTCTATTTTGGTATCCATTTTTCCGTTATCTACAATTAGGCACCCTAGGTAACCAAAAGTTATTACTTTAAGCGGGTGGCATATCGTTGAAAAAATGAATGAGTGTAGTTGCTCTAAAAAATAATGTTTTTTTCTTCACAGTATAACATTTTTTGCTCTATATTAGGACTCATTGCTGAAGATAGACTATGAGACAGAAAAAATATGCGATTGTGTTCATCGGTTTGTTGATACTATGATATTCAAAATCGAAAATTTTATTAAAAACCTAACTTTCACCAAAAATTTCAACGTGCCATATCGTCATCTATAAGATAACGTAATATTAATGCCATTTTGGGTCCTTTATACATTAATTCTATTCTAAAATAAATTCTCGTAGCTTCCGAAGTATTCTAGAATCTTCTTCTGATTCCTACATTCTGTGTCTTATTCCATTTCAACGTTCCAATGACCACTGTCATAGCGATACCAAATATTTGACACTTATGATAAAATGTTACGATTTAGGTTAGTTGGAGGATAATCGTCATATGATATTTTAAATGTAAAGATTACCTCTCTTATCATTTTAGTTTCCCTTCTAATATTTAATCAAATTATTGACAGTTGTATCACAGCCTCAGCCTTATATGTATTAATTATGTTTTAGCATTTGGTTAGTCTACTATCCAGTTTGGTATCTAAATTGAAGCATTTGCAAATTCGTTAATTTTTTTGCTGTGTATTGAAATCTCCTCGTATATGTAATATATTGAAATCCCCTCATATATATTTGAAAAATCAAAGAGTAATTTTAATGTATTTCAGTTTGCTATCGTACAAGTTAAAATACACAAAAAGTATTTTCAATAATTCTTAGCGTCGTCAAGTAATATAAACCATCTTAGAGTTGTTTATTTATTTCGCAGCTGCGTATGTTCTTCGATATTTCTTTGTTCAAACCGCCCGATATTGCGTTTTTAAATTAATAATTTACGTCGTAATTTTCGTTGTGTTTTGTTTATACCCAGCGTTTTGTTTATTCTAACTTATGTGCAATAATTTTAAAGATAATTTCATCACTCTCGGTAAAGCCCGCCGTCGATCAAGGCGTGTTCAGTTTTCTTAGAGTCCGAATTTATTTTCAAATTTATTTTCAAATTCGAAATTTTTTCGTTTTCCTTTTCTTGTCATTGAAATGTAGTATGAAGTGACAGTAGCAGTTGGATACTTGGTATTGAGCAATTTTACAACAAGTTTTGAAGATGGTTTCATGTTGCTATTGTGTTGTGCCTGTTCCAGTCTTTGAAGGAGACGAGTTTTCAATGTTGCGTTTCAGCCGGTGCTGGCTTACGCCCTCATCTTCTTATCACTGGTCGTCATCCTGAATCTGCTTCCAGTATAATTCCAGCATGATTCCAGTTTCCGACCCCAGACATGCAGAGTGGATTTAGTGAGGTTCAGGTAACTTTTTCTGTGTCCAAAATTTAAAGTCAAGATAGAAATTAAAAAAATAATAATAATTGTTTTCATTGTTTAAAAAGATAATTTTTTATTTGTACTAAATTTTATATTTGCCACAGTTTAAACCTCAGTAACATTTGTAAGTTTTTGTAGCATCTCCAAAGTTTGTAAATCAATAGAACACAAGTAATTTTCTTTGTTATTTTGGTAAGAGTCTCTGTAACTAAAAACGTATTTTTTGTGCTATCTATATTTGTGTAACTGTTTGTGGTAAGACACAGTAAATGTTAAATTTTTCCTAACATTTTGTTTATTTTTTCAACTAACCCTTTTTTGAGTTTCATTTGAAAAAGATATATTTTGAATTTCTAATAATTATTTCGTTAGTTACAACTAGCTGTTTTAATGGTTATAATTAGGCAACTCGAAGTGGTGTCCTTTTTAAATTACTAGAGGTGTTTCCTGTTTCCTTTCTGTGTTTTGTTTTATTTGTCCCAAGAGATTTATGTTATTACCCCTTTGTTTCATTTTTCTGTAGTTTCCCCAATCCAACCCCTTTGCCATTTACTTATCCACGACCCCAGCTCTCCTAACAAACCCTGAGTGCCGCTCGCACACGTTTCGATTTATTTTGCTTGCCCTATCTCCACTCCCATGATTTCTGTCCTCAATTTTCTACCCTTAATATTAATACCCCCGTGGTAGGCAAAATATATTCGTTACAAAATTAAATAACATTTAATTCATTGTTTAATTAGTTACCAAATTTTGTGTCGAATTTAAACCAAAATGAATTTAAATAAAAAAATACTTACGTGTTAGTCGTTATAAAGCATTCCTTTTCTGACAAGTACAGTGTAAAATCCAATTTTTCTGGTAGAACGTAATACACATGTTGATCTGGCTCATCAGCACATTTTCCGTTCTTAAAAACATAATTTCAAAATATTGGTTTTTGTTTTTATTACCAATTCACACAGAACAATTTTTAAGATAATTTAATGTGAAAAGCGAAAATTTTGTGTAAGGACTAGTTCTTCAGGAATAGTTTAATTAAACAGTTTATGAATAAAATCGTTCATGATATCTATTTCCGAGTAAAAATGCAGGCAAAACTATATTTTTAATTTATTAATTATTCTAAAACTATTCTTTATTGTTTATGAAATAATTATAAAAGCATTAATGGGCTTAAAATATAGCTGTACCAAAAATTCTCATGTCAAAATTTTGCATTATGCTGGCTTGAAATGTATCTCTTTATTTCCTTATTTATTTATTTATTTTAATATGTTGTAGAAAAGTGTGTCCCAAACTTTCTTAGATAGGGAACCAATTTGACAAAAAATTAGTTTGCGAATCCCTTGTCTTATCTTACCCAGTTCATTCGCAATTTAGTGACATTGCTAAATCACGAAGAAGCTCTAATACGTCAGTCTAAGATTTGGTACAGTTGTTTAATAGAGAAAATTGTTTTTACTTCCGCCATCTTAGATAGTTACACAATTTTCCAATTTTCCAAGAGAAAACGCTACAACAGTACCTAGATTTTTCTGGAATTATAAATTCGACTTTATGTAAAAAGGAAATCATGCCTAAACAACAAAATGTTGCATTCTGTTTCTGTAGTAAAATTGTACATAAGTTATTTTATGTTATAGTTATTACGTTCGTTTTTTTTTATTTTAACAGAAACGAAATAACAAATAATAAATTTAATAATTCTACTACATATTATTAGAGAATCTATAGCTAGCTTATTCGTTCCGTGTAGCTGAACAGGTTGGTTAGAAGGCAACACTCTATAGGTGGCACCCCTACAGGGTGGCCTTAAGTAATTGTACAAAAGAAACCGCAGATTCTACACTTTAAAATATTACGATTTAAGCCAAATTGCTAAAATAAAATGATACATGCCAAAAGATACAGGGTGTTAAAGTGGAAATTTAAAATTGTTCGTATTAAAAAACTTTAATGTTTATAAACATTTATGTATAAAAATTTACAACTGGGTACTATTGAATATAAGGAATTATAATTTGTTGCACCCTTTAATGCAGCTGATAGAAGGCGACACATATGCTACATATGTGGCATACATTTGCACTTAACTTTTTTCCTCTTTAAGTTACCGGTATTTTTTAATAAAAAATATTAAAGATACGTTATTTTAACAGAAAAAGGTATACTTGTTAATAACTGCAAAACTCAACAGTTTTCGAGATAATCGCATTTTACAAATCAACTGCATAATTCTGATTTAACGAAATTACTCCAGGCAACAAAAGAAAAATAGATAAAAACATCAATACTTCTGAATTTTGTTATAAAATACCTTTAATAAAGTTAATTGCTAACGAAATAATAAAATAAATAACAGAACAATATGATTTTACATCAAACATTTTACGTTTCATATTAAATTAAAGTCATAATAAAAACATTTTATTTACAAATAAAATTAAAAAATAGTTACACTAAATAACATTCAATTTTTGTTAAAGTAAGTGTTTGATATCTTCATTATTTTTTTAATTCATTTTAATACATTCCACATAAGATCGCCTCATATTAAATAGCATCATTGCTTCTAAAGAAACTGCTCCAGTACTTATTATAAGTATAATAATAGATACTATTTTGGTATATTTATGAATTAAATTATTATATTAATATCTCACCACATGACCAATGAATATTACTACCACGAACAATCCAACGTTCAGGAAATTTGCATTTAAATACTGTTCTCACTCCCCTTTCTCTGTAATGTAATGGTTACTATCTTGTATAAACCATATATTTCGCCTTAGGAGCGTAGGCGCAAAATTTCGGGCCAATGCTTTTTAAATGCATTCATTTTTTTCGAATCCTGAGACAAACTGACAAATATTTTTGAAACATTTAAACGCAGAATGAAAGAGTACTTTATTACATAGGGCCAAAAGGCCTGTAGAATAAACAAAAAGTTTTTTTGAATGGGATATTTGAAATTAAAAATCACACTAAATTTTCTGTTTTTTTTTTTTCACCCCTGTAACTTATAATTTTTCAGCCCTGTTGATAAAATAAACATAATAGATGTTTTTAGGAACTTTCAGCCCTCGGTAATAATATATTTTTTCATTCTGCGTTTAACTGTTTCAAAAATATTTATTAGTTTTCTCAGATTCGAAAAAAATAAATGCATTTAAAAAGCATTGGCCCGAAATTTGGCCCCTACGCTCTTAAGTTTGATGACAATTCTTTCAATAAACCAATAAAATCATTTTATAAAAAATATTAATAAATCTCACCATTAAAATTGCAAGGAAATTCGCATATCCAAACCATACGTTTATTTAAAATTCATATTTAAAATCCATGTCGTATGATTTGGAACCATTGGTAATTGTTTTTTACGGTAATGCGAATTACCTTGTAATTTGAATGGTGAGATTTATTTTCTTTGTTTTATAAAATAATTTTATAATTTACTAGACGAATTGTTATCAAACTTAAAGTGAAATATGTGATTTATACAAGATTTAACACCATTACATTACAGAGAAAGGGGAGTGAGAACAGTATTTAAGTACAAATTTCCTGAACGTTGAATTGTTCGTGGTAGTCCTATTCCTTGGCCATGTGGTAAGATAGTAATATAATCATTTAATTCATAAAAATTCCAAAAATTACTTATTATTATACTTATACTAACAATTATAATAAATACTGCAGCAATTTCTTTAGAACCACGGATGTTATTTAATATGAGACGATCTTTTATGGAACTCCGCCTGGGATAGGGTGAGGAGCGGGTGGATTAAGTAGCTCGGTAATCACCTTACTGCAGCCGGTCCCAAGCCCGGATAAAAGAGGAGGGTTGGGCGAAGGGTTAACTACCCACCCTCGGAAAAAGAAACTAGTTATGGAAACTGCAACTTTGCCTCGGAACCGGACAGATAAACACAAAAAAAAAAACGACAAATGCAATGTAAAAGGACTATGAATATTGGAACTTGGAATGTCCAGAGTTTGTACAGACCTGGAGCTGCTATAAATGCTGTGGAACAACTGGAAAACATAGGAATGGATATAACAGCTGTCCAAGAAATAAGATGGGCAGACGATGGAAATATAAAAATAAGTAAATCCACCATCTTCTTCAGCGGTAACAAAAACGGAAGACATGAATTTGGAATGGGCTTTGTGATTGGAGACAATCTAGTACAGAATATTCTAAATTTTAAACCTATAAATGAAAGGATATGCTACATATGAATGAAGGGAGAACGATACAACATTTCCATTATCTCAGCGCATGCACCAACGGAAGAGAAGAATGAAGATATCAAGGATGACTTCTACGATGCCCTAGAAAGAGAGATAGATAGGATGCCCAAACATGATATGGGCATATTCTGCGGAAACTTTAATGCTCAAATAGGCAAAGAGCCTAGATTATACCCACAATAGGTAAACACAGCCTACAAAATATATCAAACGACAATGGCTTAAGACTCACAGAAACTGCAGCAGCTAATAACATGCTAATAAAGTCAACCATGTTTCCGCATAAAGACATCCATAAGCAAACCTGGGTCTCAAACGACCATATTACGCGAAACCAAATTGACCATATCATTGTAGATACCCGTCATGATAATAATATTATCGACGTAAGAACTAGGGATGGAAAAACCTACCGGTTTTAACCGAAAACCGGTTTTTTTCCTTCGCAATAACCGGTTTTATCGGTTGTTTTGTATCCCGGTTATAACCGGTTTTTTATTTTTAAAGTAAAAACCGGTTATTATTATTATTATTATTATTTACAATAGATTTGAGCAGGGGTTGCAAAACCCATATGCCCATGTGACTACAATGTTATATAGTGTACAATTAAATTGTTACATTACAGTAGTTACATATTAAGCACTAACTAACTAAATGAATATACAATAACATAGGTAATAGCAAGTGTTTAGTACAAATTAAATGTTCAACTATGGAACAAAAGCTCATCCAGTTTATTTTTGAAAATATTGACAGATGGAGCATCTATGATCTCAGCCGGAAGGCTATTCCATATCGAGAACACTCGATTACAGAGAAAAAATTGTCTGGTTGTTGTTAAAAAAGTTTCCTTTTTAAACTTATGTTTGTGGCCACGAAGACGATTGTCATTGTCTATTATGAACATATTCCCCAAATTTCCAAAGTTGTATTTTACTATCCGAAACGTAATAATTAAGTCGCCTCGAAGTCGACGTTGTTCAAATGTAGTGAGATTGGCCATATTCAGTCTTTCTGTATACGTAGGTCTTGAGCGACCAAAAGACATCCTGGTGCACTGCCGCTGTACGTTTTCGAGAATATTACGATCGCGCACTAACACTGGACACCAAACAGTTCCGCAATATTCCAGAACTGGACGAATGTACAGTTTATACAGATGAATTGAGCTCATAAATGACATCTTCGCAAACGTTTTATTTAGTAGATATAATTTACTGTTAGCTTTTTTAGAAATATGCAAAATGTGTTCCGACCAACTTAGATTGTTATTAATTATAACGCCTAGATCATTATGCGATTTCACTGTTTTTAACACGCGCCCATTAATAGAGTAAGGAAGACACGGATTATTTTTACCCATGTGAAGAACTACACATTTTTCCACATTAAGAGGCAGCATCCAGGTAGAGCACCATTCCGATATGCAATCAAGGTCATCTTGTAGTAACTGGAAATTTACGGAGGGATCGGAAAATAGCTTCGTGTCATCTGCATAGAAAGCATTGTTGCATTTAATATGAAATTGTAGATCACTTGAGTATGCTATGAATAAGAGTGGGCCCAAAACTGATCCTTGCGGTACCCCACTTAAAACCGTTCTCTCAACTGAGAAAGAGTCCCCAACTCTAACACAAAATTTTCTAT